CCCGCGGGGTCAGGCAATCCACTCACCTCAGCCTCCCCAGGCGTGGGATTATAGGCTGAGCCACCGAGCCCGGCTTATTTTATTATTTTATATATTATTTTATTTTGAGTTGGGGTCTCACTGTCACCCAGACTGGAGTGCAGTGGCACACTCACAGCTACCGCAATCTCGACCTCCTGGGTTCAGGCGATTCATCCCCCTCACCCTCTGAGTAGCTGGGACTACAGGTGGGTGTCATCACACCTGGCAAAATTTTTGATTTTTTTGGTAAAGACCCAATGTTGCTCAGGAGGGACTCGAACTCGTGGCTCAAGCAATCCTCCCACCTTGGCCTCCCAAAGTGCCGGGATGACAGGTGTGAGTCACCATGCCTGGCTGTTTTCTTTTTAAAAATATTGCCGGGTTCGGTGGCTCAGCCTGTAATCCCGCGCCTTGGGAGGCTGAGGTGAGTGAATTGCCTGAGCCCGCAGGTTCGAGACCCACCTGGGCAGCGAGACCTCATCTCTACAATAAATTAAAAATAAAATCAGCTGGGCATAGTAGCGCATGCCTGTAATTCCGGTTACTTGGATGGCTGAGGTGGAAGGATCGCTGGAGCCCAGCAGGTCGAGGCTGCGGTGGCCGGGAGCGGCCACTGCACTCCATCCAGTCTGGGTGACAGAGTGTGACTCCAACTCAAAAAAAAAAAAGAAAAGAAAAGCAATAAAAATATAACTTACAATGGTCTATTTTGCTAATTTTTTTCAGAGATATTATGTTTGGAGTGTGGTGACAACGATGGCAGGGAAGTTTGCCATAGGGGCGGTGTTTGGCCTCATTTATCTCTACACGGCGGAGCTGTATCCAACCATTGTGAGGTAAGGATTGCTTTGTCGTGTTCCTCTTATCTCTCACCTATTATTTCATTCTATGAAATAGAAATAGAAATGCATTCTTTTCATAGAAGTCACCTGAAACTCTGCGGTGGGAGAAAGTGACACGATGATGCCGATTCTGTCTATACCTTATTCCCAAAGATATTAAAGAAATCGTTTTGAAGCATACTCTATCATTAAGACTTTTAAAATTTAAAATGCAGTTGACTTCCACTGATCCTCCATACAGCTAAAGGCTGAGCTTCTCGATGTTCTGATGCCAGGCTGCCATCACAAAATATCGCAGACTGAGTAGCGACAGAAATGTATTTTCTCACAGTTCTGGAGGCTAGAGGCCCAAGGTCAAGGTGCCAAGCAGGCCTGGTTTCTCCTGAAGCCTCTCCCCGTGGCTTGAAGGTAGAGGCTTCTTGCTGTGTTCTCATATGGTCTTCCCTTTGTGTGCACCGATAGTGTCTCTCCCTCTTTTTGGAAGGACAGCAGGCATATTGGATTAGGGTCCCACCCTCTGGGCCTCATTTTAACGTAATCACCTCTTAAAAGTGATAAAGGGAGGTACTCGAGCCTATAACATCTTGTTTTGACTCCCTGAGAAGATCATCTTACCCGAGGTTCCCAAAGCAGCAACTCATCAGAATCCCTAGGGTATTTGATAAAAAAATACCAGTCTTAGGTCCCTATGCCAGACCTGCTGGATTGTTCCAAGAATGACCCACAGATTTTTTTTTTGAAGTCTTATTGTGTCACCTAGGCTGGAGTGCAGTGGCACAATCACAGCTCACCACAGCCTTGACCTCCTGGGTGTAGGCCATCCTTCTGCTTCAACCTCCCCAGTAGCTGGAAAACAAGTGCACACCATCATGTCTGACTAATTTACTGATTTTTTTTTTTTTTTTTGTAGAGACGAGGTCTTGCTATTGTATATTTCCTAGCTGGTATTGAACTACTGGGCTCAAGCAATCCTCTTGCCTTGGCATCCCAAAGTGCTAGGATTCCAGGCATAAGCCACTATGACTCGCATCTTTTTTTTTTTATATTTACCAAAAAAAGAAAATATCTAAAAAATAGGGATGAGGTCTTGCTATGTTGCCCAGCTAGTCTGAAACTCCTAGGCTCAAGCGATCCTTCCACTTTGTTCTTCCAAAGTGCTAGGATTACAGGTGTGAGCCACTACACCTAGCCAAGGATAGCTGTTGCAAATAGGTCAAAACCAACAGTTATTGGCGAGGTTGTGGAGAAAAAGGAACACTCATACACCGCTGGTGAGAATGTAGTTTAGCCCCTGTGAAGAGCAGTTAGGAGACTTCTCAAAGAACTAAAAATAGATTTATCTTTGGACCCAGCAATCCCACTACTGGGTATATACCCAAAGGAGCATAGTGACACAGAACCAACCTAGGTGCCTGTCAACAGTGGACCGGATAAAGAAAATGTGGTCCATGTATACCATGGGATATTCCTCAGCCATAAAAAGACAAAATCTCGTCCTTTATAGCAATGTGGATACAGCTGGAGGCTGTTATTCAAAGCAGATTAATGTAGAAACAGAAAACCAAGCACCCCATTTTCTCACTTGTAAGTTGGAGCTAAACACTGAGTGTTCATGGACATAAAGATGGGAACAATAGACACTGGGGACTTCTGAAGGCGGGGACGGAGGAAGGAGGTCAGGGGTTGAAGAACGATCTATTGGATTCCATGCTCACTGTTGGGGTGATGGCTTCAACAGAAGCTCAAACCTCAGCACACCCACAAAACACCCATGGAACAAACCTACACACACACCCCCCGAATCTAAAATATTTTAAAAGCACAGTCTTTCCCGACTAGTAGATATTCGGTAAGTTTCCTTTAAATAACCTTTAAAGATAAGCACATTAATATAGTACTTGACTTTAAAGTTGAAATAGAACAGTCCATAGATACGTACATATTTTGTTTTCCCAAATTCCCAATTCCTACCCCAAACAGATTCCTGCTCTAGAAGACCAGTGTTGTTCTCAGTATTAGGCTGGATCAACATATGAGGGGGAACCAGGAAACCTAGAATTATTTTTAGAGGGTGGGCCCCTTGTAGTACAGGCTTCCCCTGCTAGCTAAGTGTTCTAGGAACCCATCAGCATTTGTGTACCAGCTACTGTTGTTGGGAAAGGCTGCGTTCTGCTTCAGTGAATTTTGTTTTTGGAGAGTCTTTCAATGCGTTTGCCCATTTCACGAAGGGTGATCTACACCAATAACCTGTCCACACCACACTGAGTGTTCAGCAGTTTTTGACTAAAAAAACCAGCATGACTCCCATGCCCCACCCTCTCAATTCATCTGATCTCACCCCTTTCTACTTTTGTTTTTTTTTGGTTTCTCTGGATGAAAAAAGTCCTCAAAGGGAAACATTTTGCCAACGTGGAAGAGGTGAAACAAAAAACGGCAGAAGCACTAAAAGGCATCAAAACGGATTAATTCAGCCGGGCTTGGTGGCTCAGCTGGTAATCCTAGCACTTTGGGAGGTCAAGGAGAGTGGATTGCCTGAGCCCTTGGGCTCGAGACCCACCCGGGCAACTTGGCGAGACCTTGTCTCTACAATAAATAAAAAATTAGCCAGGCGTGGTAGTGCGTGCCTGTAGTTCCGGCTACTTGGAAGGCTGAGGCTGAAGGATCACCAGAGCCCAGAAGGTTGATGCTGGGGTGGCCATGAGTGTGCCACTCCTGGGCAACGGAGTGAGACTCCAACTCAAAAAAAAAAACAAAAAAGTAGCCGGGCTCGGTGGCTCAGCCTGTAATCCCACGCTTTGGGAGACTGAGGTGAGTGGATTGCCTGAGCCCGTGGGTTCAAGACCCGCCTGGGCAACTTGGCGAGACCGCATCTCTACAATAAATTTTAAAAAATTAGCCGGGTGTGGTAGCACATGCCTGTAGTTCCAGCTACTTGAAAGGCTGAGGCGGAAGGATCGCCGGAGCCCAGCAGGTAGAGGCTGCAGTGGACAGGAGTGGCCACTGTACTGCAGTCTGGGCGACAGAGTGACTCCAACTCAAAAAAAAAAAAAAAAGACCAAAAAAACCTGATTAATTCAAAAACTGTTTTTAGCAGTGGAAAAAACATCTCGATGGGTATATTGGATCAAATGGCGAGTACTTTGAAGGTGACTGAAGTTTAAGGATGTAGAATAATTACACAATTTTAAAATAAATTCCGGGTTTTTTTGAGTCCCCCCCTTGTACACCTAAGGGCCTCATCTGCTAAGCAGATGGAGAAAGGTTGATCCTTCTACCCCCGCTTTTTGTCATGAATTATCGGCATGCTTGTATACACCACTGTTTCACACAATGTAGACATAAGTCACAGGTGATTCTTGGAAAATTTAAGACAATTATTTCCCAGCTTACTTTTTTTTAATAGTCATGCATTGCTTATGTTATGTTCTGAGAAATGTGTTGTAAGGCAGTTTCGTCGTTGTGTAGACATCACAGAGTGCGCTCACACAAGACTAAGTGGCGTGGCCTACTGCATACATAGGCCGTGGGGCATAGCCTGTGGCTCCCGGGTTCCAACCCCATGCAGCGTGTGACTGCTGAGTACTGTAGGCAACTGTAGCACATGGCAGGCATTGGTGTTTCTAAACATCTAAACACAGGGAAGGTTCAGTAAGAATGCAGTATTAGACTCTCACGCAACCTGTTGTTCTGGGAGGTGGAAAGGGTGGCAGGAAGCAGCTCCATCACTCTCTGCGTCACCTGCGCCTTCCGTGTCTTCGGTTCTTCCTCGATCTAAATGCTTCTCTGTCCCCAGGTCACTGGCCGTGGGGAGTGGCAGCATGGTGTGCCGCGTGGCCAGCATCACAGCACCCCTCTCTGTGGACCTCAGAAGCATCTGGATCTTCATACCACAGGTGTGTCTGGAGACTCTCACCGAGACGCAGAGAGGCAGGGTGGCTAGTCGCCTTCTCTATTTTGATTCACTGGAAGCGAGTTGGAATCTTACTCTGTCGCCCAGGCTGGAGTACAGTGGCACGCTCACAGCTCACTGCAGCCTCAACCTCCTGGGCTCAGGTGATCCTCCCACCTAAGCCTCCCAAGTAACTGGGATGACAAGGGTGCATCACCACACCCAGCCCATTTTAAAAAAATGTTTTGTAGATAGCCGGGCTCGGTGGCTCAGCCTGTAATCCCGTGCTTTGAGAGGCTGAGAAGAGTGAATTGCCTGAGCCCGCGGCTTCGATACCCGCCTGGGCAACTTGGCGAGACCTCACCTCTACAATAAATCAAAAACTAGCCGGGCGTGGTAGCACATGCCTGTAGTTTCAGTTACTTGGAAGGCTGAGGCGGAAGGATCACTGAAGCCCAGCAGGTCGAGGCTGCGGTGGCCAGGAGCGTGCCACTGCACTCCATTCTGGGCGACGAAGTGAGACTCCAATTCAAAAACAAAATGTTTTGTAGAGATGAGGACTCGCTATGTTGCCTAGACTGATCTCGAACGCCTAGCTTCAAGCGATTCTCTTGCCTAGACCTTCCAAAGTGCTGGGATGACAGGCGTGAGCCAAGGCCCTCTTTCTTCTTCTAATTGCCTCTTAAATAGACTTATTCTCCAAGATTCTACCCTGGCCCTCCCCGGTCCCCATAGGTGTGACCTCTCCTGAGTTCTGCCCCCTCTGCCCAGCTGTAGATGCAGCTTTTCACCAGCCTCCTGGGTAGACCCCCTGGATGTCTTACTTCAGACTCGAAGCTTCCCAAGCAGGACTGGCCAGTGGGTATGCTGTCCTTGGGTCCCAGATGAGTCTGTGGCCTCAGACCACTGTGGTATCAGTTTTGGAATCTCCCTACCCTTTCCTCCTCTCCCCCCAATCCATTAACCATCTAATCTGCACCTCCCCTCTCAAAGCCGCCCCTGCTGCCCACTTCCGGTGCCCTGGTTCAAGACCCACCTCCTTGGTACCCGCACTCCCCCCCAATCCCATCTGAACAGCACAGAAGGTGCCTTGGTGGTACCCCATGTCCCTATCACCTTCAGAATAAAATCCAAACCCAGTAAACACCCAGGGCCTTTCCAAAGAACGCCTGCCAGTCTCCCATGCTGCTCTGTTTCCTTACACGGCTTCCCCTCCTCTCTGCACTCCTCCCACCCCCAGTCCTTCCTGTCTCCTTTCTGTCCTTACCCTTCATCCTCCCATGCCCTGCTTCTGCCTAAAAAGCCCTTCCAAAGAGAATGCTCCTCTCATCTGCCCTGCCAGGTGTCCACATATTCTGCCTCCTTCCGAGAATGCGGCCCAGAGCCGGTAACCTCACCCCTCCCTCCCTCCTGTGTGTCCACACAGCATCTCATGTGTGTGCCTTTCTCAGCCCATGTCACCGGCTGACTCTCGCATGTGCACGCATGTCTTTGTCTCCCCAGCCAGCATGTCAGGTGCTTGCGGAGCAGGGGATCTGGCGTCCCTACCGCTGGACCCAGGGGAGCACTGCTGTCACCGTGATTCACTTGGGATGTTAGATCAGATAGACTGGCTTTTTGAAATTAGCTTTGTCCTAAACGATAGTATCTGTGAGATCACAGGTGTTACACTAGGTCTATGTTTTTCTAGTACTTTTGCAAGTAATCGAATGTTGGGAGCCCCAGGGTCACCTTGTACACACAGGGGTGTGCGTGTTGCTCTTTGGGACTAGCTGGCTGAGCATGAACGTCTCCCAGGTGTTCAGTGAAGGTGGCTTCATTGGGATTTGGGATCCCAGTTTGTTTGTTTTTTTGAGTTGGAGTCTCACTCTGTCATCCAGGCTGGAGTACAGTGGACCCATCATGGCTCACTGCAGTCTCAACCTGCTGGGCTCAGGTGGTCCTCCCACCTCAGCCTTCCAAGTAGTTGGAACTACAGGTGTGTGCCACCACACCCTGCTAATTTTTTTATTTATTGTAGAGACAAGATCTTACTATGTTGTCCAGACTGGTCTTCTGGGCTTCTGGGCTCAGGCAATCGTTTTGCTTTGCTGGGATTACAGGCGTGAACCACCACACCCAGCCTCTGTCACAGGCTTCCTCTGAGGTTGAGAAATAATATGGGCTGTCTGGCCTGCGGAGGGAGGTATTTTTGGAGAGTCTTCCGCCCTTTTTAGGGCATGGACTTTTCTAGAAGCATCTCTCTGTGTTAGCGCTTTGTGTTTTTTCATTTTTAAAAAGTCTTTTTTTAAAGCACACAAAAATAAAATGGATAAGTTTATAAAAGGAAACTGCTATAAATAGACTAAAACTAAATAAAGATTTTTTTTAAAAGGGTATCTGTCAGGGTCAATTAAAAACTATGGAGTTAAAAGGGATCTTTTATTTTAATAGGCTGTTTTTTTTTCAGAGACAAGGTGTTAGGTCAGTGGGCTAAAAGTCGGTGCTCCAAGGGTATGCAAGGAATTACACAAAGAATAAGTCAGAAAAAGTTTATTTAGTAAGTAGATCAGAGTGGGGAAATGCACCTCCTCAAGATTGGAGAGGGGGCCAGATGTTTAAGGAACATTAGGACCTGAATGCTTGAGGTTGACATCTTCTAAAGCTTCCCTCTTAGTGGAGGCAGATAGGCAAGCATTCACAGGGGCTGATGTCAAGGTGATGGGCTCTGTCTCTCATAACTCTGACAACTAGATAGGGTCAGTCAGGAGCACATGACAAAGATGGGCCTGTAGCTGAGGGGCGGGTCTGTGGCAGGGGAGGGGTAGGGGTTAATCACCTAGATGAGAAGGGCTGGGCTAGTAGCAGAGAGACAGATTCTTGGGAGATGTTAATCCAATGTCCTGTGACTTGCCCAGGGTTCCGGGAAAGGACTATTGTGTATGAGCTCGAGGAGGTCCGAGGAACTTCATTTCCGACTCTGTCCTTTCACAGGATCTCACTCTATAGTCCAGGCTGGAGTGCAGTGGCACCATCATAGCTGACTTCAGCCTCAAACTCCTGGGCTCCTGAATATCTAAGACTGCAGTCCTGTGTCTCCACACCTGGCTAATCTTTAAATTTTTTGTAGAGATTGGGTCTCACTATGATGGCCAGGCTGATCTTTTTTTTTTTTTGAGTTGGAGTCTCACTCTGTTGCCCAGTCTGGAGTACAGTGGCCGC